TCAACTCTATCAAAGACTCCAGAAGGATATTATATTACCAAAGTAAATAAGAAGTAAGCAAATCCCAAAACTCTAGAAATGATAGAGACATCTCGCTGCCTGGATAGTCACCCAAAGTTCCTCTGTACTGTTGGGGCATCCATCTTTTGCTTACAAGCCCAAAGTATCCAACAGACTTTTCTATGAACCAGGATCTTTAAAATACTGTTCAGTCACTTTTTCTGTGTCCTGTAGAATGTCTCACAGATTCTTTCATGAATCAGGAACCCTGAAGAAACATCTCACCTTTAGGCAAGTTCAGCAGTCCTCTCTCTATGGGTTCTTTGTGTCCAGTTTATGCAACAGTCCAGGCAAGAGAAGTTTCTAGCCCAAATGGCTAACCAACTCCATAAGGAGCCTCTTCAATGCCCATCTTCCTTTTGAAGTAGATTGGTGCTGCCAGGACCAGATGTGTCTCACTGTCATGAACAGCCCTAAGTCTTTAAAATATTAAATGCCATATTCTGTAGTCTTTGAAAGATATGAAGAATGCCTATCTAACTGAAATATATCTCTATATATCTAGAAAATCTAACTAACATGACTATAAGCTTGACTATTATTAATAATTATCCATTAACAACCAATATTTCCTAATTATACATTATATTTTTAAAATGTACTACACAATCACAATACTTTAATCAAGATCAGAAATACATATACATATAACAAAATTGACCTTATAGTTCTATCAATAAAGGAAAATCTATACCAATGCAAATTATTCATATGTATATGAATATATACAATTTATGTCATATATAATATATATCATATATAAATATATAATATATATCATATCCCCTTTAAGTATAAAAGAGCATTTATAATCAATATCTGGGAATATGGTTGTAGTTATTTCTCTCCAAACTTCTTCCTGCTGTATAGGGGCACTGTTAATCAGGTCTTTCATATTATAACCTGTGTGCTAGGTTCCTCTCAGTCAACAGTTGAGTGAAGTAATTTTTTGAGGGTGTTCACAGCAACCTTTCAGGAGTACATGGTCTATCATACCATATTGGGATAGAAGGAATCCACAGGGTCTTATCCTCTGTGAAAACAAAAGAACCTCTTTTCCAAAGCATTGCATCCTTAGACCCAAATTCTGAAGTCAAGATATCTTTATAATATACATGTTGGATTATTTTAGCAGACTATACAATAAAATGTCTCTCTGTATTTAGCTCCTTCGCAGTCAAAAAAATTCAAAGAAAATGCAATATATAGAATTCAGACTCTGTGAATTTTCCATTTTTATGTGGCTTATATTTCTTTATTTCTTTTAATCTATAACTATCTGTACTGTCTCTTTAAAGACTTTACCCCCTTTTAAAGCATTAACTTTATTCTTTATATTCTTTCTCTTCTCTCTCCCAAGTCTACTTATGTCTAACACTATGACCCATTTAGAGGTTTTTATGTCTAAATCTGTCCTATTGTGTTGCCTGTAACTTATTTACTGTCCAGGAACATTTTTGATTTGTGCTTTTAAATCTGAGCACTTAAGAATCTAAGCTGTAACATTCCTAGGTCAAAAACAGGTACTGTGGGCTTGCCCCACCCAGTCCAATGTGGCAGGGCTGCTTGTGACTGAATCAGTTGCGTCTCTGAGCTGTAGAGCTGCAAGCTGCTCTGGATGTTTGTTCCACCTCTCTCCAGTTTTCAAATGGAGGACGTACCATTTTCTGCTAGCTCTGGATTCTCCAGGTAGGAGCCACACTCAACACTTTAACTCTGAGACTGAGCACAGAAACTCTTTTCATCCAAGTTACAGCCAAATCGGACATGCAGAGCACAGCACAGCCTGGAATAATCTCTCTGTATGACTGCAGAAATCTGCCATGCAGACATCCTGCCTGTCTAAGCCTGATCCCACCATCTGCCCAGGTGTGGGCGAGGAGCGTTGAGCCATTGGCATGGTCTCAGAGTACTTTCTTCCTTATCCCAAGCAGACACACAAACATCAGGACCCATGATTACACCATACCCAGATTTGCACTGATGGCAGGGCCCAGGAAGCTGCTTTTTGAAACTGCGCAGCCTTTTTCTCTGTGAAGGCTGCTGAGTTAGGGAAATTTCTCTGTCGCTCCTGACCAGAAAACAGCAAAAAGCTGTGTTAAACTCTGTATTTGTGTCTAGAATTCCTTTTTAAGCCCTCTTAGGTTTTACATGGAGTTAGTTACCACATTGGGCAGCCACTTGTAAAAGGAGCAGCAGGCTGCTTTCCACCACCTGACTCCCAGCTGCCTGGCTAGCTGGCTTATACCCTGAAATAACAACAGACAAATTGTATTCATTTAAACACTGCCTGGCCCATTATATCTATTCTCTTCTTTGCTGACTCTCACATCTTGCTTTAACCCATATCTTGTAATCTGTATATCACCACGGGGTTGTGGCTTACCAGGAAGATTCTAACCTATGTCCTTCTCGGGCTGGAGATTCATGGCATCTGCATGACTCTGCTTTGGTCTCCCAGCATTCTGTTCTGTTTACTCTACCTATCTACTTTTCTGCCCTATCAAAAATACAAGGTGGTTTCTTTATTTAACCAATGAAATCAACACAAAAGAGAAGACACTCCTACATCAGTGATATGCAGATTTAATAGAAATGGGTTACAACAAATTTTAAGAGTTTATGGGCCAGACAGCAATTTGATTGATATAGATTTCTGTGAGATTATTTCAGGGATTAAGCTAGATGGGCAGTGGGACACAGCCTGCTGCACCTCCTCCATATTACATAATGGGAGACATTCTAGGCCACAGATCTTTTGGGCTTTTTAGACATGTCCCAGTAGGAGGGGAATTGAGATTCACATGGGCTCCAGATCCCAATGTGGGGTACTACATCCAGATAAAACCTGAAAAGACTCAATAAGTAATTCTAAGCATAGAAGGACAGAATTAAGCATGGCATCTTGATAGCAGCATTTTCTTGGGTGAGCTCTTTTTGCTAGAAGCAAGCATGACTCATTTAAGGGAGGCTTTCTGATACAGCTTTAGCTACAAAAAACTTGATGCACTTTATATCACAAAACACTAAAATGCTGTTGATGAATAGCCAACATCATGCTTCTTGGTGATGGCAGGAATAATGAAACTTCACAGAGTTGTGACCATAAACATGGCCCCTGCAAGTACCTCTACCATGAAGCTGAACTCTCAGAAATCTAAGGAATGGGATAGATCCAGCCATCAGACCATGACTTTAATCCTAGCCACATTGCTTAGCAAATTAAAAACTGATGTGGTCAGAATAAAAGATATACTTAAATAATTCAGACAAAAAAACTTTTAGATGGTTTACAGTATGTTTAAAAATATATGTAGACTCTGGGGAAAAAAGAAAAGGGATAAAGTCCTTAAAAAAGCAAGAAAGAGAGTAGATGGGTTTGGTGGCATACATCTTTAATCCGAGAACTTGGGAGGCAGAGGCAAATAGTTCTCTAAGAGTTCAAGAGATGCCTAGTCTACAGTGTGAGTTTTAAGACAGCCAAAGATACACAAAGAAACCTTATCTCAAAAAGAAAAATAAAAATAAATAAAAAAGAAATAGAGTTTAAAATAAAGCCATGTACAGATGTAAAATAAACACAGAATCTAGATACTGAATGTCATTGTGTTGTCCTAGAATTGTTTAATGACTGAGAAAGAAACAACAGCTGCTAACATATATTTGATTGTAAATGCTGCTGGATTAATTCAACATATATATTTTGAAAATGCCTTGACTGCAAAATTTAAGCAAAAAGATGTGTTACTTTGGAGAAGAGGCTTTGTTTTCATTTCTACAGGAAATGAGAATTAAGAAAAATTAGATTGGATCAAGGAAGATCCCCTGAAAAATCTCCAAGAGCAGCAGATGGCCCAGATGATCCAACATTTAAGAGAACCTCTGTAGTAGTTTTCTCTGAGTTCTATATCCAGAAAAGCCTCGAGAGTGCTGGTTGAGATGATCAAGCCTCACTGAATATTCTGTTGCTAGGAGAGGGCTACTTGTTCATCCCAGCCTCTCAGAAATGAAATAATCACACAGAAACTCTATTAATCAAAACACTGTTTGACCCATTAGCTCTAATTTCTTATTGACTAACTTACATCTTAGTTTAATCCATTTCTGTTAATCTGTGTATTTCCATGTGGTCGTGGTTTACCAGCTAAGTGTTGGCAGCATGTCTTTCTCTGGCAATGGATCCATGGCATCTCCCTGGATCTGCCTTCTTTCTCCCAGAATTCAGTTCCATCTTACTGCCTAAATAGTTCTGCCCTATCAACAGGCCTGGGCACTTACTTTATTCATTAACCAATGAAACAACACATAGACAGAAGGACCACACACAATTTCCCATTTTCTGTTTAAAGAAAAAGGAATGTTTTGATATAGTAAAATTACATATAACAAAACAGTAATCAAGCAAGAATTGCAGTTACAATATTTATATCTACTTTATCTTTTACCACAATTAAGGAAAACTATAACTATAAATTCTTCAATTCCATCAAAGACTCCAGAAGAATATAATATTACCTAAGTAAACAGAAAATGCATTATAAACAACTTCCAAAACTCTAGAATTGATAGAGACATCTCACTGCCTGGACAGTCACCCAAAGTTCTCCTGTACCATTGGGACATCCATCTTCAGCCTACATCCCTATAGTATCTAGCAGACTTTTCCATGAAGCAGGAAATCTCAGAAACGGTTCCCCATATATTGGCAGTTTGTCAGTCACTTTCTTCTGTGTTCTGCAGAATATCTTGCATACTCTTTCATGAAGCAGGAACCCCAAAGGATTGTCTCACCTTTAAGAAAGTTCAGCAGCTATTACTCTGTAGGTCCTGTATGTCCATTTTATGCAACAGTCCAGGCAAGAGCTGTTTCTTGCTCAAATGGTTAACCGACTTCATAAGGAGTCTCTTTGATGCCCATCTTCCTCTTGAGGTAGATTGTTGCTGCTAGGAGTAGATGTATCTCATTGTCATGAAAAGTCCTAAATTCATAAACATTTTAAGTGTCATATTCTGAAGGTCTCTGAAAGATTTGAAGAATCCCTACCCATCTGAAATACTTCTGGGTATATCTAGAAAATCTAACTAACAAATACAAACTTAACAAATATAAATACAAACTTGTCAATTATATAGAGGATTATCTATTAGTCTATATCTCTTAGTTATACATTACATTTTTAAATAAATTACACAATCACAATACCTTAATCAAGAGCAGAAATATACTTATAACAAATTTGACCTTAAATTTGTATCAATAAACCAAGATCCATACCAATGCAAATTATTCATATCTATATCATATCTCCCTTTAAATGTAAACAAATATTTACAAACAATATTTGGGTATATGGGCATAGATTTGTCCATACCTCTTCATGCTGTTTGGGGGTGCTATAAATCAGGTCTTTCATGGGGTATTCTGTATACTAGGTTCATCTCAGTCAGCAGTTGGGTGAAGTGATATTTGGGGATGTTTCCAGCAATCTTTCAGGAGGTCTTGTCCCATGAAATCATTTTGGTCAATAAGCAATCCATAGGTTCTCATCTTCTGTGAAAACAAAAGAAGAACCCCTTTTCCAAAGCACCACATCCTTAGACACAAATTCTGAAGTCAAGATACCTTTACAATATACATGCTGGTTTAGCTTAGCAGCCCATACAATGAAATGTCTCTCTGTTCTTAGCTCATTCACAATCAAAAACTTCAAATAAAACACAATAATATACATGATATAGACTCTCTGTGAATTTTTCCATCTTTATGTAGCTTATTATTCTTTACTCTTTTTAACCTATGACTATCTGTACTGTGTCTCTTTAAATGCTGTGCCCTTTTTTTTAAAAAAAAAAGCATTGATTTTATTTTATGACTCTCTATACTCTTTTTCTTCTCTCTTCCAAGTCTACATACATTTATCCAACACTGTAACCCATTTAGAGGTCTTTTATGCCTGAATGTGTTATATTGTGAATCTGTAATTCTTTACTGTCCAGGATCACTTCTTAAATGCTAAGTACTTCTTAAATCCTTAAGCTACTTCATTGTTAGGTCAAATATGGTAGTGTTTGCCTGCCCTGCCCAGTCCAGCAATGGTGGAGCCTCTTGGCCTCTGAGCTTCTTGTGCCTCTGAGTTTTGAGTGGGGCACTGCCCCACTTCCAGGCACACAGTGAGTCCATGTTGTCATCAAGCAAGCCAGAGAACTCTACTCACAAACCAAAATCAAATGCTTTGTAGCCAGACCTTCTGCCTGAAAGAATCAGAGGCTGTGCTGGCAGCCTGGCCCAGAAAGCTGGCATTTTAAAATGGCTGTGGCTTTTTTTTTCTGCAATGGCTGGAACAAGAACATCTCTCTCAAAGGAACTGCAGCATGTAGCCAGCAAACAGCAAACAGCTCTATATTTTTGTGCCTAGAATTAAGCTTTCTCGGGTTTTTAAGTGGATTTAGTCCATCATGTTGGCACCAATTGTTGCAAGAAGAGGGATGTTTGTTTGTCCTGGCCACCCAGAACTAAATAATCACACAGAAACTCCATTAATTAAAACACTGCTTGGCCTATTAGCTCAAACTTCTTATTGGCTAACTCTTACATCCTAGTTTAACCCATTTCTATTAATCTGTGCATCATCATGTTGCAGTAACTTGCCAGCTTAGTTTCAGCAGCATGTCTTACTCTGGTGGTGGATCCATGGTGTCTCCCTGGCTCTCCCTTCTTTCTCCCAGAATTCAGTTCCATCTTTCCACCTACCTAAGTTCTGCCCTATCGACAGGCCAGGACAGTTTCTATATTAACCAATGAAATCAACACATAGACAGAAGGACCTCCCACAGCAATATTCCAATCAATACTTGATCATAATCCTAAATTAGCACTCCTAATCAGCAGGAAGTAGCCTATAAAACTATGCCCACACTCCCCCAAAATGGATTATAGATGTTTGTCTTTGTTTAGAGTGTTGGTTACAAGTTTATATGGATAATGGTCAGGTAAAAAGCTAAACAAAGGAGATTAATTTCAGAGTTCTTGCTTAAAAAAAATAAAAGAAAGGCAAGTACTGAGGTACAATGGCCTTGTATCCTGTGAAGATATGTCACTGTATTAGTTTACTGAAACACTGATTGTCCAGTAGCCAGGTAGGAAGTATAGGTGGGGTGACCAGACTAGGAGAATTCTAGGATGAGGAAAGTTTCAATTTACAATCATCACCCAGACCCAGAGGAAGCAAGATGAGAATGTCTCACTGAGAGGAGGTACCAAGCCACATGACAAACACAGACAAGAACTGTGGGTTAATGTAAGAGTTAATTAATAAAAAGCATGAATTAATAGGTCAACTAGTTTATAAAAATGTAGGCCTCTGTGTGTTTCTTTGGGACTGAATGGCTATGGTACCATATAGGACGGAAACCTCAGTCAACATACCTGAGGTTTTCGTTTTTTTTAATTAAAACTACTTTAATTATTCTTTCTATTGTGCATTAAGTGTTGACTTCACCATCCATATCTAAAATTTTCTTAATGGTCCAGGTAAAGATTTTTTTTCACACTGTATGTATATTTTAAAGCAAAATTGTCAGCTTGTGGTTTGAGGTGACACCTGTATTTGTGTTCTCCTTTCCAGTCAACAAAACACTTCCTGCTCATTTTCAGCTCTTGGTTATCATTTTTGAAAACACCCCTAATCCATATTATCAGTCTAGAAAATCAGTTGAATTTACTTATTCCTCACTCATTTGCATATTTAATCTTCATTGTAATTATGGTTAGTATTTTATTTTACTTGGGCAGTCCATGATACCTTGATCACTTTGACTTCTGTACATCTCTTTGTTCCCTTAAATAAAAGAATTATAGCTATATGCATGTTCTACTACATCTGTTTAATACAAAATTTCTTTGGTTTTTCCTTAGTGTTCTTTTAAAAAATATTATTTATCTGATTTCCCTCTCTGCTTCTTTATCCTTTGTGTATAGGAGGGCAACCGATTTTTTGGAGTTGATCTTGTATCCTGCCACATTACTAAAGGTGTTTATCAGCTGTAGGAGTTCTTTGGTAGAGTTTTTGGGGTTGCTTATGTACACTATCATATTGTCTGCAAATAACGAAAGTTTAACTTCATCCTTTCCAATTCGTATCTCCTTAATCCCTTTATGTTGTCTTATTGCTCTTGCTAGAACTTCAAGCACTATATTGAAGAGGTATGGAGAGAGTGGACAGCCTTGTCGTGTTCCTGATTTTAGTGGAAAGGCTTTGAGTTTCTCTCCATTCAATTTGATGTTAGCTGTTGGCTTGCTGTATATTGCTTTTATTATATTTAGGTATGATCCTTGTATCCCCATTCTCTCCAACACCTTTATCATAAATGGGTGTTGAATTTTGTCAAATGCTTTTTCAGCATCCAATGAAATGATCATATGGTTTTTTCTTTCAGTTTATTTATATGATGAATTACATTGATAGATTTGCGTATGTTGAACCAGCCCTGCATCTCTGGGATGAAGCCTATTTGATCATAATGGATAATTTTTCTAATGTGTTCTTGGATTCTGTTTGCCAGTATTTTATTGAGAATTTTCGCGTCGATGTTCATGAGTGAGATTGGCCTGTAATTCTCTTTCTTGGTTGTGTCTTTGTGTGGCTTTGGTATCAGAGTAACTATAGCTTCATTAAAGGAGTTTGGCAATGACTCTTCTGTTTCTATGCTGTGGAATACATTAAGGAGTATAGGTATTAGCTCTTCCTGGAAGTTCTGGTAGAATTCTGCATTGAAACCATCTGGTCCTGGGCTTTTTTTGGTAGGGAGATTTCAGATAACAGCTTCTAATTCTTCGTGATTAACAGGTCTATTTAGATTGTTCACCTGTTCTTGGTTCAACTTTGGTATATGGTACTTATCTAAAAAAAATGTCTGTTTCTTTTACATTTTCCAGTTTTGTGGCATACAGGCTTTTGTAGTAAGACCTAATGATTCTCTGAATTTCCTCTGTGTCTGTGGTTATGTCCCCCTTTTCATTTCTGATATTATTAATTTGCATGTTCTCTCTTTGCCATTTGATTTATGATTTGTTGCATTGGGAACTGAACATGTGTCCTCTGCAAGCACAGGTAAACTCTTAAGCACTAACTCATCTTTGTAGCCCACACCTTTTCTTTCTTTGACATAGCCACTACAAGAACATAGCCCACTATAATCACTAGGCATATGAACCATTAAAGAAATGTATATATGTGTCATGTCTTACTAAAAGTTGAAAGAGATAAATAGTAAACTATCCATGTGTGCTTCTGACTGTGGGGATATAAGAATCTCCATTTTTCTACTAAATGGAAGAGCAGTGTTTTATTGAACTCAATCTAGCTAAAGTTCTGGACAAATGCAAATAGGAAAACATGACCAAAAAAAAAAACAATTAAAACAACATCAAGCAATAAGTTAAAATATACTTTTCCTTTGCTATATTTGAGTGAACACAGAAGCAATCAGTCAGAGGTCAAAGTTCTCAGAGGGAATAAACAGAATCAAATGCCAAGGCAATGGCAAACACTGATAAGCCCTATCCTTGGCAAAGAATTGTTTAAAAATGTGGCAAAATGTCAGACACAAGTTCAGGTTTACTTCAATGAACTCAGAGAGGTCACATACTTCTTGGTAGATGTGGCAATAATAATTCAGCCCTGTTTTATATTTCCATCATATGTATTGATGATAAGGCAGATATTGAAGTAAGCCAAGTCTTTAAAAGTTACACAAATTTGATAATAAATAAGAAATATTTTTTGTAATGCAGAAAAGACTATTTTAGTGTAGATTGGCATGAAGGAAGATAAATATTAAAAACAGGCTAACAGTCACGTCCATGAGGACCAAAGAATATAAATATTTTAAGGTGCATTGTCTAAGAACTTGACTCTTCCTCAGCATTTTACTCTTTTCTGTAAAATTGAATGTGTGCTTTTTACTGTGTTATACCTTTTTTTAAAAATTATTCTATTTATTGTATTTGATGGCACCGATATGTACAATGTGTGGTATGCAGTGCAGTGTGTGTTACATGATGTGTAATGCACAGGGAAAATGAATGTATATAAATGTGTGTGTGTGTGTGTGTGTGTGTGTTTGTGTGTATGTGTGTGTGCGTGTGTGCTGAGGGGCAACTATTTGGAGTGAATTCTCTCCTTTCACAGTTATGTGAGTTCTGGGGATCAAACTCAGATCATAATTCCGTATTCTGTCATTCTTAGGTTACTTTTGCTTTTTTAAAGTGATAAGATAATTCATTCTTACATATTATTTAAATCTGAACTAAAGTGTCAAATGATATAAGCATTCAAACACATATTGTCTATGATAATCCTTTCTGTCAGGAGGTAAATGTTCTATACTTTGAGAGGACTGTGAACTGCACAGGAGTATACATTGTACCCTATACCTAAAAATTTATGCTTTATTATCTGAATAAAACATTGCCTGAGTAAACTGAAAGTACAGTACACACCTCTTCTGAAACCATAGAAATGACAGAGGCATCTGGTTGCATGGGGAGTCATCCAAGTTTCCTTTGCAATATTGGGGCACTCATCTTTGGTACACAGGCCTAGCATATTTGCCAGGCTCTTCTATGAAGCAGATATTTTGAAAAACTCTCCTACCTTTTCTCGGAAAAGCTCCACTATCTTTTTACTTTGTGTCCTACTTATCCAGTTTGGATGAAATACTGTCATTAACCTAGGCAAGGACAGGGTTTTGCGCAAAAGGATAGTTTTTTTCACCATTAAAGAAAATTCCATTTTAGTGGGAGGAGCTGCTTGTTTGTCCTAGCCACCCAGAACTGAAATAATCACAGAGAAATTGCATTAATTAAATCACTGCTTGGCCCATTAGCTGTAATTTCTTATTGGCTTACTCTTGCATCCCTAATTTAACCAATTTCTATTAGTCTGTGTGTTTCCACATGGCTGTGGCTTACCAGCTAAAGTTTTGGCATGTCTGACTCTGGTAGCAGCTCCCTGGCATCCCTCTGGCTCTGCCCTTCTTTCTCCTAGCATTTTGTTTATTTTTCCCTGTCTGCCTAAGTTCTGTCTTGCTATAGGTCCAAAGCAGTTTCTTTATTCATTAAGGGTAATCACAGCACACAGAGGGGACTACGACATCAGTCCATATAGAGTTTTTTTTTTTGATGCCCATCATCCTTTTGTAAAAGGAAGGAGCGGGCTGCATTCCTGCCTGAATCCCAGCTAGCTTACCCCCGAAATAATTACACAGAAACTGTATTCTTTTAAACATTGCTTGGCCCATTAGTTTCAGCCTCTTATTGGCTAACTCTCACATCTTGATTAACTCATTTCTAATAATCTGTGTAGCACCATGAGGTGGTGGCTTACCGGGAGGATTCTTAACCTGTGTCCATCTTGGAGAGGAGAGCTATGGCATCTGCCTCATTGCCTTCTTCCCAGAATTCTGTTCTGTTTACTCCACCTACCTAATTTTCTGTCCTATCAAAGGGCCAAGGCAGTTTCTTTATTAACCAATGAAAGTAACACATAAACAGATGCCCCTCCTCCATCATCCTTTTATGAAGTAGATTGGTGGTTCCAGGAGAAGACACTTCTAACTGTCCTGTAAACCCTTAGGTTCTTAAATATTTTAAATACCATATCTATAGGTCTCTGAAGCATTAGAAGATCATATATCTGTCAAAATATAGCTGTTTAACCTAGAAAACATACCTAATAGTACAACAAGTTTGATTATTACAGATGACTTATTGCTAACTTGAATTTCTTAATTATATAATACATTTTTAAATGAATGAGTTACATAAGCACAATACCCCAAACAAAAGTAGAAACATACATACAGTATAACAAATATAACTTTAAATTTGTATCAATATACAAAATACATACCAATGTAAAATATTTGATGTTAATACTTGTCTTTTTATCCCATATTATGTATCCCTGCTAAATAATGACAAACATCTATAACCCACTGAATGAGAACAAAAGCCACTCACCCCACCTCTTATGAATGTTGTGCTCTCTAGACTACTTCCTGTTGTCTGTGGGTTACAGCATCTCCAGGGGACTCTAAAACAATAGTTAAGTCCTGGGAATACTAGTTGTAATATTTGTAGTGCAGTCTCAGAACTGTTCCCATGCAGAGGTATCAGTATATATGTCTTTGTCTTGTAGTTTTTCCTGATTTATTTTTTGTTGTCTATAGTCAAGATTTTCAGGCAATCTCCCTCACCCAAGCCTGATCTCTATTAACCTTGAAGGAATTCACAGCCTTTGGTTTCCTATGGAAACTCTCCTAACAAAATACATTTTCTGAATTTTCATTTTAAAGTTAAGACATTCCTAAGGTATCCAGGCAGATTTAAATCAGAAGTTCCTTTTACAATTCTTTGTCTCTGAATAGCTCGCATTTACACATTAGCACTCGAAAATCGACAGTTACACTACACTATACAGGATCCAGACCCCTGTCTTTATGCAGCTTTTCTCCTTTATACTACTTTTTCTTTTTCTTTTTCTTTTCCTTTTTGTGTTTTTGTTTTTTTTCAAGACAAGGTTTCTCTGTAGCTTTGGTGCCTGTCCTGGAACTAGCACTTTTAGACCAGGCTGTGGCCTCAAACTCATAGAGATCTGTCTGCCTCTGCCTCCCTCCTGAGTGCTGGGATTAAAGATGTGCACCACCACCACCTGGCTACATTGCTTTGTGCTTTGTTTTTAAAGACTTAATTTTCTTAGTTCTTCTTTAATATATATATATATATATAATTTCCACCTCCTCCCTTCTTCCCCTTTCACTCCCACTCCCCCCAATTCCCTTCCCCCTGCCTTTTTAAACTATTGTTTCCTGTGATTGTCCATACCCATTTTCTTTTCTTTCTTAATACCGTACATTTTTAAACACACTATAACATCTTTAGAGTTTTCTTTTTTAATCTTCACAGGCCTTTACTGCATGTATTTAACCTCTTCTAACTGTGTGAACCCAACCTTAGCTGTGCAGCTTTGTGATGGTGGCTGACTCTACCCTGTTAGTGTGTTGCATTCAACTGGGAGGTGCTTATAAGTAGGAGTTACATGCAACTACTCCAGCTCTGGAAAGTTGATGCTCATCTATGGCAGCTACTTTTACTTAGCTCACTGTTTCTATTTAATGTGGCAGCTGCAGTATGACAGAACCTCTTAAGGAAGAAACACACATTTTTTTCTTTCTTTTACAGCTTTCTCAGGACCTATGTGGAAATTTGTACTACATGTTCAGTGTCAAATGTAGCAGGCTTTCTAGAACTGCTAGCACTCAAATAATGGCATGGAGACTTATTATTAATTATAAATTCTTGGCCTTATTGTATGTGTTTCCAACTATCTCTTATAACTTATATTATCCTGTTTTTCATTTACTTTTTGCCTTGGGGCATTTTATTGTTCCTTCATTCTGTATATCCTACTTACCTCTTTCCTCCATGTCTGACTGACTGGTTGAGCCAGGGTATATCTGCCTCTTTTTCCCCATTCTATACTTCGTTGCTTAGATTACTCCTCCTACTTATTCTCTCTTCCTGCCAGCCATGCCTATCCCTCTGTTGTCTAGTTATTGGCAGTTTAGATTTTTATTAGGCAAATCAGGCACTTTAGGTAGGCAAAAGAACACATGCTTACATAGTTAAACAAAGGCAACACGCCTTTACATGGTTAAAGTAATATTCCACAACATTCTGTCAGATAGTTTGTCTCAGAAACAGAAAAGGTAATTAATGCAGTGATCAAGGGAGTAGACTGTAACCCATTTTGTAGAATAAAACTCTGTAAGTTCATTATGATTTGAATTACTAAATATTGAGGAAGAAGGGAAACTCTATCCTAACACAGAAAAGCAGCTGCTGCACTTAACACAAATAATGAAGTTTTAAATTGTTACTGGATGTTAAAACTGGTGAATTATGTATAGACAAGAGACTGTGTGATCTATAGATGTCCACACAAATGTCCTATGATTAAAATGGAGAAATACCGTGATACTAAGAGAACTGGAAGATACACATGGACCACATAACCAAAGTCCACTTCACCAATAGTGGGACAAATAAGCATCATGTATTTGGGTACATTGGGAAGGCATTATTTCCATAGCATTTCTACTCTATGTAATGAGAACCTTAACATGATGGGACTTTAGACACATTTTTATTGAGAGGTATTTTGAATAGCTGCCATTCTTAGAAAATTTTAAATAAAATTTTTTTAATGTAAGTATATGTGTCTGCAACATGAGTGTTGGTGCCAGTGGAGGCTAGAAGCAGGTATTAGATCCTCTGGAAATGGAGTTACAGGTGGTTCTGAACCAGCTGATGTGTATTCTTGGAAAAGCAGCAAGTGCTCTTAACAAATAAACCATCTCTCAGCCCCATCATGTTCTCTGTAAATGGTCAAAAATCCCCCTCTTCACAAATAAAACCAAGAAACTGGTCATTATCCAAAGAAACTACCAAAGATAACAATCTAAACACAGTGTCAAAGATTAAAATTGTTCTTAGAATAATAGTTTAAAAAAACTATAAAGAAGCCATTGTATTTTGGACTTGGAATATGTGTTGATGATGCATTGAGAAGAGACTGTTGCTTCTGCTGATCGAATATCTGTAACATGAGGGGCCGGCTTGATGGGGTATCTGTCTCGCCCAGTACCCCACAACCGGCAAGCCCCAAAGAAAATTATGCAGAGGACTCCATAAGATTATAAAACTGATTGGCCCATTAGCTCAGGCTTCTTGTTAACTCTTGTAGTTTATATTAACTGTTATTCTGATCTATGTTAGCCGTATGGCTTGGTACCTTTTTCAGCTGTCAGCTCACATGTTGCTTCTTCAGTGATCTGGGCAGAAGTGGCTGAGGGAGCTTCCTGCTTCCCAGAATATTCCTGTTCTCATCACCCCGCCTCTACTTCCTGTCTGGTTGACCCACCTATACTTCTTGCCTGGCCAATCAGCGTTTTATTAAAATACATGATTGACAGAATACAGACAATTCTCTTGCACCAAATATCTTGTAATTAAACATGAGGAAAGATTTCACAAATGTAAAATTAATCAACAGTACTCTTATACACATCATGCATTCATGACATGCAATGCATTTATCATCTGAACTCAGATGCATTAGAGTCTACTTATTATGTTAACAGCAGAGAAAATCATCACCAGGGATATCTGAGTACAAATGCCCCCCAATTAGTAATGTATTAAGGAATCTCAAAACTGTGGTAATTGCAAAATGGAGAGGGACAGAGATATTTGTTCCCACTGTGATCCACAGTGGAGCTCTGGAGGATGGGTACCCTCTAGTAACAATGTTTTAGCAACAGAACATATTTTCCAGAAGAAAACCAGCTCTGATGATGGAGTTTACAATATATCACATGAGCCTATGCTGCAAGCAGCTCTAAGATGAGAAGCTGGGGCAACTGCTTAGAGAGCAGTGTGCTTGCCATGAAAGTATAATGATCTGAGTTCAGATCCCCAGAACCCAAGTATAGCTGGATGTGTTTGAAATCATAGCATTCCCACAGAGAGATGGGAGAAAGAGCTAGAAGAAATCTCAAAAGCTCACAAACAGGTTAACCTCAGAAGGGAGCAGCAAAGAGGATCCCTGTCTCAACCAAGTGACATGTGAGGAATAATACCCAAGGTTATCCTCTGACCTTCACATGTATACCAGTATAAATGGGTGTGTACATTTGCATGTGTTCATATTTGTGTGCTAAGAAACAGATGCATGCTCCTATGTACACACACAAGCACATACATTCACGCATGCACATGCACCACACATACATGTACAAACACAAAGATATGTTTATATGTACACATACACATGTGCACATACATGAACACATATACGTACATACAACCAAAGATGAGGAAAAGACATTATTATAAAAGCCACATGAATATTCTTTTTTTTTTGTAAATTTTATTAAATTATAAAAGTTTCCATTTCCGCCCCCCCTCCCAACACCCTCCCACTCCCCCCACTCCCCCC